TAACTTGCTTGTGTGGAGTTTGCTTTCTATGTTTCAATAATATTAACTGTACCGCATGTACCTTGGAATCTAAGACCGATTCCAGTACCAAGGGCACATTTACCTAAATTGGTTGAGCTATTTAAAGAAAAGATAAAGATGAAAATATTGGAACCCTCGTTTGCGCCGTATTCTAGTCGATGGTTTAGGATACCTAAGAAGAATGGGTCACTACGGTTTATTCAAGATATGCAACCGATGAATGTAGTAACTGTCAGGAATGCAGGAATTGGACCTATTATGGATGAATTTGCTGAGGCGTTTGCTAGAAGGGCAATCTATTCAATGGGTGACTTGTATTCAGGTTATGATCAATTTCAACTTGTCGAAGGAAGTAGATATATGACAACAATGAAGACACCACTTGGATTTGTTAGAATGTTCACTCTTCTTCAAGGCACGACCAACTCGGTTGCGCATATGATGAATGGGATGAATAAGGTATTGAGAGATTTTATTCCGGAAAAGACTATGCCTTTTCTGGATGATGTTCCTATAAAAGGGTGCAAAGAAGGAGATAAGGATGAAACTTTAGATACGAGGGGGTGTCGCAAATATGTTGTTGATCATATACAAGATTGTGAAAAGATTTTAACTCGGCTTGGAGAAGTTCATCTTACATTATCGAGTATGAAGTCCGTATTTGGAGTACAAGAGGTTGTGATTGTTGGATATTTATGTGGATCTTACGGAAGAAAACCAGATCCGACTAAAGTTGATGCAATTGGAAGGATGAAAGAGGATTAAGATTCTTTAACAAAGGTTCGCAGGTTTTTGGGTGCATGTGTATTTTATCAAATCTGGATCCCTCATTTTGCTCACATAGCGGATCCATTATATGAACTGTTACGCAAGGGTTACCGATTTAAATGGAAAGAAAGGCATATTCAGGCAATGCAAAGATTGAAGAAATTATTGATGTCACCTCCAATATTGAGAAAGGTTGATTATAAGTGCAATAGACTAGTGATTCTTACTGTGGACGCTAGTCCAATTGCCATTGGATGGACTGTGGGTCAAGATGATTCAAATGGGAGTAGATTTGCAATTCAATTTGGGGCTAAAGTTTTAAGTATTCGTCAGCGTGCATATTCGCAAGTCAAAAGAGAACTTTGGGGAGTCGTTTCAGCTATGAAAGCTGAAAAGGACTATTTGATCGGGACAGTAGTGGTAATTGAAACAGATTGCTTGCCATTGCTTGGAATGATTACTAACTGTTCAACGCCAGATATTGCAATGTTGAGATGGATTGCTTATATTAAGTCACTAAATCCAGAATTTAAGCATATTACTAGGAAGGACAATTTAGTAGCAGACATGCTATCTTCAGCAAGATACGAGAGGGAGGACGAAATGGTTGAAGACATTGATGACGTCGGATTGAAATTCTATTCAATATCAAATCTCAACAGAGAAGACAAGCTATTTCTTGAAGAATCTTATGAAGGAGAATTATTGGATATTGGTCATTACTTGAATATCTTGACTAAGCAGAGGAATTGATCTACAAAAAAATTCAAACAAATAAGAAAAAAAGCATATGGATTTTTACTTCAAGATGGATTCTTATGGAAGAGACCGAAGAAAGGAATTGGGATGCCACAACGAGTGATAGGCAAAAAGGAAGAAAGACTAAAATTATTAAAAGGGTTTCATGATAATTTATGGGCAGGGCATAGAGGAATCTGGGCTACTTTTGCTAAACTCAAGGAACGATATTGGTGGAAAAATATGTATCGAGATGTGCTCTCATTTGTAGAGTCATGTGAAATCTGTCAATCGTATTCTAATATCCAACATCGAGATGGTCTTCATCCTACGTATCCTCTGGCTATTCATTTTAAATGGGTTGTTGATTTGATTATTATGCCGGTTGGGTTATGGCAGATGAGATATTTGGTTTTAGCTCGTGAAGATTTATCAAATCAAGTAGAAGGAAGAGCATTGAGGACAAAATCTACAGAGGGGATTTGTAGGTTTTTGCTTGAAGATGTCATTTGCCGCTACGGATGCGTAGGAAAAATCACTGCAGATCGTGGAGAATTAAATGCACAAGAAGCTCGTAAGTTCTTTGAAAGATGTGGAGTTAAACTATCACTCACTACTGCTTATAATCCAAAAGGGAATGCAAAAAGCAAATGCGGTCACCCACCGATTGTGAAAGCATTAGTTAAAGCTTGTAATGGGAAAGTTAAAGAGTGGCCACGGCTTTTGTCATTTGCATTATGGGCTGATCGAACAACACATAGTTTGGTGACAGGATATATGCCAGTAGAACTTATGAAAGGTCAAAAACTAATTATGCCGATTGAAGAAAAGGTACTTACTTGGAGTATGCTACCATGGGAAGATGGATTGACAAGAGAAGAACTTCTGGCTATTAGGATTCGACAATTGGAGCAAAGAACGGAAGATGTCTAGATAGCATTGGAAAGGTTAAAAAGAGCAAGGTTACAAAACAAGGCGCGATTCGATAAGCAACATCGATTGAGACCATAAGCAATCGAGGAAGGTGACTGGGTACTTGTTTATGACAATAGTCTGAATAATCAACATAGTACTTTGCGGAAATTTTTAAAACGTTGGTTTGGACCATATGTAGTAACAACTGTTCATGATAATGCGACTTACTCATTACGGGAGTTAGATGGTACAAAATTGAAAATACCAATTGTAGGAAAGCGAGTAAAAATATTTAAACGAAGACACGTGGAGATGAATATGGAAGACCTTAATGAAGGTATAGAGATTCCGCAGCAAGAAGATGAAAGTGATTTGGATAATGAAGGTGACGAAGACGAATTGGGCAAAGACGTAGAGGATATATTCTGAATCAAACAGCAATTGGGTAAATTGGTGCATAGCAGAGGATGCACAAGTTCAGAGGGGGTGGATGTCGTGTTGTAATACGAGTATACCGTGAAAATATAAAGAAAGGGGACTTTTATTAATGTTCAGTTACCTCGAATATTGGGAGCAACAACCAACTCCAGTGCAAATACTGAGTGGTCAGGTTCAGTCACCCCGTTACAGTCAGTCGGGGCATACTGAAATGCTCCATTCGATTCCAATAACGGGAGTCAGCAGGAAGAGAAAGGACCAATTCACACGACAGATGAGCCTGGTTCGAAGAGCCAATTGGATCCAATTTCAAGAATCCAATCCGGGTCCTCTTACCCAATATGAGACCTGAATTGGCCGGACAACCTAATATAGTCTAATTACGGGAAAATCCAGGTCTTACTACGGACCTCAGCTAATCTGACGCGAAGGACCATTTTGATCCAATTATGGGGACATCTGGATCTTACTACTGGACTCTTAGCCAATATGAGACCTGAATTGGTCGGGCGGCTCAATGTGGTCCCGATTATGGAGTTTCAATTCTGTTTCAGGCTGTCCTATTCTCTGTGCCGTTTCAGGGAACGTTGTTTTTGGTAAAAAGATCTCTTAAAGGTAAAAAATGGGGAGAAAGCTCTGACGGCGAGAGCCAATTTTGGATCCAAGCTCTGACGGCGAGAGCCAATTTTGGATCCAAGCTCTGACGGTGGGAGCCAATTCCGCATCCAAGACGGAAGATTGAAGAAATTCAGAGGATAAGATTAGGGGAGAGAATAAGTTTTTGGGGAGGTTTTGAAGATGGGAGAGAGCTAGCTTCATGCTTCGGGCGGGGAAAGAAGACAGAGAATTGGGTTTTTTTTTCTTCATAGGATTTTGGGAAGACTGAGGCAATCGTTGCTGAAGTCAGTGTTGTAATGGTGAATCAGGATTTTTAATGAAGTGGGTTTGATTACTCTTGACTGTTTTGTGAAATCGAGTTATGTCTGTGATGAAGAGTTAAAAGGGTGTCTATAGGATTGAGTATGTGGAGTGAATGAAATTTATTGGGTTAATCTAACAAGATAATCAGTGGATACAAGATCGTGAATATAAAGCGGTATCGAAGATTAGCAGTTTGGGTTGTTTGGGGTTCTCTGTAATGTCTAGAGACCTACCGGCTGGGACAAAAAGGACTTCGACAAATAGTCGAAGGGCATCCGTATACATTTACGGTGTATTCTTGCAGTTGTTTGTATTCCAATAATCAAAAACCGATAAACTGCTTGAATATTGGCGAATCTCCATACTACCTTCTATAGCCAGACGCTCGGCACGTTCTCGAGCAGGAAAGCACGTAATACGACAGCGGCGACTTACTCTTCTTGATAAGAAAGTTAATGAACTCTTTAAATAATTAAAGAAAATGATGTTGTACTCTTTTTCCTTCATCTATGGTTTTATCCTTAAATAAAATAAGATTTTCCTAGATAAGGTTTTAATGAGGCAACAATTGTTGATCTTGTAAGATCATAGAAAAGTATAGATCATAATTCTATATAAATTTTATATTATGTAAATATTATGATGAGCGAGGAGTGTTGAGATCATTAAATATAGCCGGTGCTCTCCATAATATTTATTATAGAATACAGTAAATTCTATAGCTACAGTATTTAGAATGTAGTGGAGAAATATTGTTTATCATCTCCCCTTTTTCTCTTTTTGTATACGAGACACAATCAGATCAACAGATTTATATGTGTGAAGCTCTCTCTCCTTAGAAATCCTCTTGTGTGTATGACTTGCTACTACTCTTGTGTGTGAGTATGACTTACTATTACTCTTGTGTCTTTCTAAACATTCTCAACAAAATGCAACTAAAATACAAAAGTCAAAAAGCAGAGATGGACACATTTCATACATCTTGACGCCCACAAGAGATTTACATTCATCCACTCGGACTCCGACTAGGGACGACGGGGGTCCCGCAACGGAATCAGTCTCTCGGCGATACAGGCCTCTCGTGCGCAATTCCCAACCCCACCGGGGCCGGGGATACGGACGGGACGGCAACACCATTGTCGTCTTCGTCGTCGTTGTCGATTGTCATCACGACGTGGGTCCCCGTTTTGCAATCAATTGGAACCCCATTGCAGCGTCGATTCGGGCAACCACTACACGCAATACAATTTTGCATTTGCCTATTTCGGCGTCTGCAACTGGCGCTTTAGGGGATTTGAATCCCCTCACTGCAACGCCTCATCTGGTCGGATTCTTGTGCGCGTTGTGGGTGTTGGCGTTAGAATATCGACAGAGGATTTTGTGGGGGGTCTGAATTGGCGTCGGGAGGAAGCGATTGACGGCTTCCTTTGAGGTCCGAGATTGTGTTTGCGAGGGTCGCCATTGTGGCTGTTTCGATTTCATTGTTTGAGAATTTATTTTTTATTTTATTTTTTGGGGATTTAATTAGGATTGAAGTGACAATGGTTAGGCAGTTTGAAGTCCTTTTGTGACCTGTTGTCGTGTTGTAAAGTGGATCGGGTATTGGTTTGATCTTTGATTTTGTTTATTTTGTGAGGAACCTATTTGTAGATCGTCGAAGTGCTTGGGTTTTTGACCGCCGGTGGGGGGTCTTTTCAGGCAGGCGCTTAGAGTGGTGCGTTTCCGAGGAGTTAAATGGGGATGCAGGCACCCACTGCTGAAACTGTGGATGATGCGGGTACTGCGTCCGCGGTTGCGGGCCGACCCAGCGTCTTGATCGTTGGCTCAAGCAATGTTGGCAAATACTCTGTACTGAAACGTATGTGAAGTGTCCGAATTTTTCAATTCCTCTGCGGCAGATGCCTGTGCGCATGTTCGTGCGTGTTTATTCTCTCGATAGGTCAATTCTTTGGCTCACTGAACTTTCCTATGAAACTCAGCAGCGATGGGGTTTCGCTGTGTTTCCCGCATCATGTGAATAATAATTCTAACACACACACATATATATTTATATATATTTGACAGGGTTGTTAGGAAAGGAAGAACTACTGAAGGACGATTCTTGGTCCGGCTCCACTTGCCATGGGTAAGCAGATTATGTTACCGTCTCCAGTATATTTTCAGATTATTGTTTTTCACTTGTTTGGTTTTTGGAGAAGCCTTGGTGACCAGCTGAAATGTGTAGTCAGTATTTTAAAATACTTTAAGTGGTCATCTGATTTTATTCGCTACCACTTTGCCTCGGCTCTGAGTTTCTGTTTTGAAACTTTGTCTACATCTAGAGGAGATTGATAATTTCTAATGTTGCAACGCGTTATTTAAGGAGTTGTAGGCATCCTAAAACTAGCACACTGGGTTATCCATGCGTTTGTAGTAATTTCATGTGTTTTGAGAGGATTTAAGGGGATAATTGAAATGTACTACTACCTTGCTTAGTCTGGTGGAGTGTGAACGTCAATGTTAAAAAGAAATCTACATGTCGTCGTTCTCGTATTTTATTCCATCGTATATTTTTTCTTCTGCAGTTGGACAATCGATACCAAGTATTACACGGCTGATGTATGCATTTGGACTGCTCGCTTGGATGAGTTAGACTCCAAGGACAGTGGATCTTCTCCGCTGGAGCACTGTGAAGCTCTTCTAATGGTTTTTGACTTGAGTGATGTAAGAGACACTTCGCTATTTCATTTCCTGATGCACAAACTGCAGGTTCGGTGTTCTTATTAAGTTTTACTCGAAAGTGAAGTGCGGGTAAAGGGGTGCTATTAATTATATACCTGATGCACTCATCACAAAGCTATCGTGAGTTTTCTGCTGCTGGCTGAAAGTAACTTGGATTATCCAATGTAGCACTTGTCTGTATTGAGGAACCTTTGACCCTTAAGTTTTGTTGCTCTGACGATGTCCAATGTCTGGCAGCCAACAACATTTGAGAAATTGCAACAATGGATGGGAGCATCAGAATTGTCTTATGAAGTGCAGATTTGTGTTGGTAACAAGGCAGACAAATTACCCTCGCATTTTGGGCACATAGAATACCGAAGGCGGTTGATGAAGCGGGGAGAATCTTCAAGTGATCCCCATCCTGAATTCATGGACTTTGGGATTGACAGAACTGAGGGAAGTAGCCTCTTGGCCGAAGACGATGATGAAGATCCAGAGCACCGGCGGCGTGCACGTATGGAATGGTGCACCGAGCGAGGGATTGAGTATATTGAGGCCTGTGCAATCAATGAGGCATTTGACAAGTGTAAGTTTTCATCAACGTTTGGTTGATAGGCTGTGTGCTTTTTGAAAAAATTAGAAACAGATTATTTCTTAATTTCGAGCAAGAAGGAATGTTCCTCTGCAGGGTAAGTGTTAAGCAAAAGTAGCTGATTCAGTACATATATATATAATCCTAATGCAGGCATGTCTGTTGATGGGGACCTGCAAGGAGTGCCACGAATTTTAGATGCAATATCTGCACATATGTGGACTGGTCTGGTGATGAAGCCTGCTGATGTTCAAAGAAATTTTCAACAAGGCTCGAAAGAGAATGACGAAGGTGTGGTGTGTTTACATGTTCTTTCAATTCTATGTGTTTTTAGGGGTTTAATACTTAATTTTATTTATTTATTTATATTATTATTGTTATTATTTTTTCATCTATTCATGATAAACCCTGCAATTCTGCAATCCTGCCTTCTTTAAAAGTACAATATTCACTGTTCACTTGTTTGTGATTAAGCTAAATTTTCAAAATTGTTTCTGCAGATAGAGGGTCGTCCAGCGAAGATGAGGAAGATTTCTTGATTGAGTATGAGATTTTATCTAATGCATCAACAGAACCATGGGATGGTAATGAGGATTTGTGGAGCTTCAGAGGTGCTGAAGCTCCACCTATGGATGTGGCGATCCCTTCCGATGGGGAATTCAAAGCAGCCGATGACATAGAGCCCTCAACAATCCAAACAAATGTCCCTAGTAACCTTCCAGATGAGTCTGAAGGTACTTTTGCATCAACAAGTACAGTTCCTCATGTCGTGTCCACAGCGCATGGCAGTGAAGATCAAGTAATAATTGTGCAACATTCAGATGGATTGAAGAGTCCAGAGACGTCCACTATCTCTCGTGATGTCATTGAGGCAGGTGAAGGCAGTAGTTTGGACGTAACCGAGGAGGTTTTTGTAAAGAACGATAAGGAACATGGAGCTGAGGACTTGGAGAAATTGATGCATGAGATGGCTAGCATGCGAGAGAATATGCGCAACATGTCTGATGGGCAAAGAAGAGAGATGGCTGCTCAGTTGGCCATGCGGATGGCTAGTGTGTTCTTAGATGATGACGAGGAAGATGATGAGTGAAGCAGCCAACTCAGCTGCTCAATCTTAACGCGAGATGATTTGAGCTGTCCTTTTGTTGTAGTTTGCCTAACTGTTTTCTCCATGAGCTCGATTTCTTGGTTACTGACAATCGTGCCTGCCTTTCATGTTGATTTATAGAACGGCTGTAGATTTTGCAATGAGGATTATTCTGCGAAATATTATGTTGTAGTTATTTGAGATCATTACTTGAACGCTCCTGTCGGCTCTGTTAAAGGGTTGATTGTGGAAAGCTTGCAGACCTCAATTTTATCTTGTTTGTCAGTTTTGTGTTGGAGTTTTGATTGATATACAGCACTCCTGCAGTCACTTTTTTACTTCGTATATTCTCATGGCTATATGTGCAACTCTATCTCTTGTAAACAAAAGAATTGGATTCACTTCATCTAGCGACCGTGTTCCTGCTCCTCTTCTGTGTACTTGGTTCTTTCAATGTGGTCTTGCAGTCATTTCCCATGAGTCGGAGATCTTTACGATCAATACGAAAGTAGTTGAGTGTTTTCGTGTGTTTTTGAGTTTATTATATTGAATGTCTTTTAGCTGTCAGAGTGGCATGCAGGTGGTGAAATTTTAGTTTAGTCACTTTTGATTTTGATGTCGTGAACTTTAAGGTGCTGCTTGAATCAAGACTCCTCCTAATTGCTTTTTCATTTCGACGTTCATGGTAAGTAAAGCAATGAATAATGCCCCTGAACACGACCTACACTCAAGAAATTAGATTGATGTACCCGTCACTTGGATACTTGCACAGGGAATTGATTGTGTAGAGTGTGAACAGAGAGGTAAGAGAGGGACACAGCCGGATATGTACGGTTTCGGGCGCACTTCACGGGGTTTCACATGGCGCAGAGCCGGGAGGTAACAATATACACACTTCATGACTAATCTGTTTCTTGGTGATGGTCATGCTTCTCCAGACTTGTGACTACTACACTTCATATGGGTGTCAGTCATCTGGAGGATTGTTTTGACGAATCTCATAGGTTCGCAGTTTCCGTAGTTCATTATTAGTTTCTGGTCATCTTCTCGCAAGTGGGTTTTGGCAAGTGTGTTACATTAAGACTAGTGTGTGTGAGTATGAATATGTGTGAGTGTGTAATTGAATATTGTCATCTTCCATTGTCTATTAATGTCAAATCATTACTTCTCTGTTTTATGGTAGTATGATTCCTGTAATTGAAACTGTTAATCCTGTTCTACAATATGAGAGAAAATACCAACAAGGAATGTCTAAAATATGTACACAAGGTATAATTATCAAAAATCGTGATCAACTTTCAAGAGAGGTCTTAAGTACATCACTTCTTGCTTATGAATTACCTCCTGAATAAAGAGATTATGATCGTAAACTTAAAGAAAAACCAAAGTATGATAATTTTATTTATAAGTACCTTTTAGCTAAACTTGTTAGATTTAATTATGGCCTATATAATAGTTTCTTCAATGCTATAGATTCATTTGTGAATTCAAAGACATTGGGACCTATACCAATTATAAGAGAACAATTAAAAATTAAACTCAACTCAAAATTTATATTAAGAAGAATAAAAAAATTAGAAATATGTATTGGTATTAAGCTAATAGTTTATAAAGATGAATTAAAGGATGGAAAACCTATAGAATTACATAACTCATAATTTGTGGCTAAAGGAACAATTGCTTATCTCATATACAATAATGCATTCTATTGAGTTTTTAAAGAGTTAAGAAGAAATATCAAGAAAAGTCATAATATGTCATTATTAGTTAACCTATATCTTTAAAGAAATGTCTTAATAACATATTTTTCTCTTATATTAAATGGTCTTATATTTTTACTATTTATAAAACTTCTACTTGGTCGACTACTTTATATATATATATATATATATATATTCTTTTTGTTCTAGTATCTCTCTTAGCATATTAATACTATAAGCCAAAGGAAGATTATTCCATTTATCAGATAACTTATTATACTTCTCTTCTAATAGTAATTTAGTTACAAATTGTATCTTTGATGAAGGTATATACTTGTCATCTTTCCCTACTTTAAATCTGTACTTGACAATCTCTTCTACTCCTTCCTTTATTGTATAATCAGCGTATATCTTCTTAACAATGTATATTCCCTTTGTACCTTTAGATAATTCTATCATTGCTTGTCCAGGCTTATCTCCAAATAGTCTTTTATCTATCTTATTTACATCATTAGACCTTAAGAATAGACTACCAGTATCCATTCCATATTTGAATTTTACCTTAGATATAAAGTTCTCATACATGTACTCTATGACATAGGCATATATTAGTATAGCTAATATAGTAGGTGATGGATCACTGGTATGATGTACCAGTGCTGCTCCAGACCATCTCCACAACTGGAAGTTTCAGCTTTCCTCACTGGGCTTTAACAGTAGTTGCAACTCCTGACGCTTAAGTGCTAATTAGTCTGACGATTAAGTGCTAATTAGTCTGACGTGCATGGATGGTCATGGACAAGAAGATATTTAATCTTGCTGCAGTAATTAGAATGTAGCTTCATGTGGCGAGGGGCACGCGTACCGATGGTGGTCCTTGACTCCAGCTGCTGAGCTGTAGCGTGGTCATGCACAGAAAGGCTTCCGTTGCTTCAGTTCCCTCACCAAGATGTACTTCTTTGAAAGTGGGCACACATGATGTTGCAATGCAGCTCCAGTGCTTTTAAGCATGATCGATTGATCCGACTGCACTTGGCCGACTTCGACCTTTGTTTGCCTACCTTCTTGTGCCCTTCCATCGAACCGTGGAAGACTTGGAGCTATGGTAGCCACTTCGTATTATGAAGGCTTCCAAGGCTGGAGACTAGTCTTGTGTGTGACATGCATTGTGTCCAATCTGCAGATACTACTGGTGCTTGGCCAATATGAAGGCTCTAACAGCGGGTCGACAAAATTCATGACAAATTACGCCAGCTCATCAGACGGACAGCATTTTCGCATCCTCAGCAACGGACAACAGGTGCAGCTTCTCCTAGACGAGCACTCCGCTTCTGGATTTGTCTCCAAACACAAGTATATGTTTGGGAGGATTGGGATGCGGATAAAGCTTGTTCCAGGCAATTCAGCCGGGACGGTTACTGCGTACTACTTGTCTTCCGACACTGCGCGTCATGACGAAATGGACTTCGAGTTCCTTGGTAATGTATCAGGCCAGCCCTACATCCTGCAGACGAACATCTACGCAGGGGGGAAGGGACAGCGGGAGCAGAGAATTTATCTTTGGTTCGACCCTTCAGCTGACTTCCATGAATACTCTGTTTTGTGGAATAGAAAGCAGATTGTGTTCTATGTTGACGACACTCCCATTCGGATGTTCAAGAACAACAAGGCTGCTCTTGGGCAGGATTATCCAGATTCTCAGGCAGTGGGGATTTACAGCAGCATTTGGAATGGGGAGAACTGGGCAACCAATGACGGCTGGGTGAAACTCAATTGGACTTACGCTCCTTTCATCGTCACATATGAGAAGTTCAATGTAGATGCCTGCCTTGCGCTGCAACACAGCAGCGATCCTTGCATTGCAGCAACGAACGGTTGGTGGGAGGAGTCGGAGTACGAGACCCTGAATTTCAAGGATGTCGAGCGACTCAACTGGGTGAAGGAAAATTATGTCGTGTACAATTACTGCACTGATCGAGGGAGAAACCCTATTCGACCAATTGAATGCGATATCAATATTTTGTGAGCGGTAAGTGATGATCGCCATTTAAGTAGTCTTTGGAGGAGGTGACTTGAAATTCTTCGTCATCATTGCTACAATGTTTCATCGAAGCATTTGAAGTGTTCGTCTTGACTTCAGTAAGTGCACATGCACCAGCGTCTGGACCATTCCAGCGAGTAGTTAGATATTGAAAACATTGATCCAATTTGCACATTGCAAGTGCCTCTACTTTTCTTTACAGGAAGGTGGTGTGACTGATCAGCTACAATTAAACAGATTAATTCTTGTGAAATTGCCTACCCACCGACACCCCGAATTCGCCTGGTGCCAGCGCGCATTTACTGGATCATACCCTTCTCGATTTTTGATTTGTGTGTCCTACTGCAGGTACGAATTCCTTGACAAGAGAGAGTAGAGTTACGGTATACTTTTAGTGCAGGATTATATTGTAACGTCTTAAACGCTTTTGATGTGACATGTTAATTAGAAGGTTGGAGCACTATCATCAGGATGAGCATTCGACAGGAAGCGGTTGCTCTGTACAAAAAAATGCATCTTATGGAGTCATTCGACATAAATAAAGGACCACTTATACTTGTGGATAACGAATAACTGATGGCGCATACAAGGTGAGGTGAATAGCTTTGTTGACTGATTTTAACAACTAGCTCTTCACACTCAGCTAGCGGGCGCCTGAGCAAAATTGTGATGGATTACAAGACGTTGCTTCTTGATACGAAAAGTATCCCAGAGTGATGCGACATCGAAATCGTCTTGAATTGGCAGGCGCATCTCCTTGCAACTTTTCACGTAATCTGTTGGACTTAATGGGCTGCGGTTTTTATCCTTTTCACCTTTCTAATTATTCTGTAGCGCATACCCTGATAAATAAAAAGAGAAACATTTCCTTTAAATGTAAGCCTACCACATTCTTGTTGCTTGATCTGAACGTGTTCAAGAATGGTTTCCCGCACCTCATGTGATGACTTGAGCCTTGTTTGACACATAGGCATTAATCACGAACTGGGTTATTTGAACCTAGGATTACCAAGTACAGTACTAAGCTTACAATCCTATGTGCATCAATCTACCAGCATATTTTGCAGAAACTTGCTGGAAATCTGCGTAACAGTACACGTACATAATCACAAATCGCTAGTTCCCAGTAGAGTGGGGGAAGCACTGAGGATCTCAAGACGATGGGAAAATGCATGCTCTGCACTGCATGCCTGGTAATCGTTGGGCTCATCTGTGAATGTCACATTTCCTTTCCACCCTCAAATCATCAAGTTGGTCTATGAATTCGAAAGGTCGGATATTTTAGAGATATTTCAATAAAGCAGCTACCTGTTTCCTGAACTGATGTCGTAGATTGCTACTACATTTGGAGGAAACAGTTTGTACCTGGAGGGTCAAAATACGGATCAACTCAACCATACATTGACACTCCAATAAGAAGTTTCTACCTGAATAAGAATATGCAATAGGCACCACACACACACACACACTTCAAATCCAAACAAAAGCGTGGGCTGTGCAGTAACAAATCAATCTGTGGCATTACTTTTCTAACGACGAAATTCCTATCATCATATTCGATGGTATTACACAATTTTTTAACACGATGTTGCAATAAGAGGTTTTGGCAAGCCACTGAAACCTAATTGTAAGAAGCGATCCCGCACTCATCAAAGCAAATTATTTATTTTCATCAGCAATATTTTTTTTTTCTTTTTTTTTCCAGCCATGGCTGCTCACAGTCTATGTGGGCTGTACCCCCAAGCGCGAGAGCAGTACTGGATTACTTTCAAGTGCAGCTACCAGATTTGGGGGATGTACAAAGATCACTCACTGGTGGGCACCCTGCTGGTGGTGGGCAGCCACGGCACCGCTCTCACTTATCAAACCAGATTTTAGGTCCCATCTTAACACTGCTACACGGAAAAGGACTGAGAAGCAGGCCAAGCAAATCTTCGAAGCGGCGAGGAGCAATCAAGCAGCGGGCAAAAAGCTTCACCAAATATCTTTCCTGTAGGAGGAAAAAAAAAAAAAAAAAAAAAAAAAGATTATGGCGTGTGGAGAAACAGCACAGGAAGGTGGTCATCAGCCACATGATACAGCGAAGAAATGGTCTTTGCATCGCCATCCATGGACAACAGTTGAGTGAGTTGCACAGCAAGGAAAGTGGCCCATATCTAATCGAAGACATGATCGTTGTGCTGTGTGTGTGTTTTTTAAAAGGAATTAACTTGGTTTGCCATTCTGAGCGAAGACAAAAAGCTGGGGTCCCCATGTCACCTCCACCTAGTGTCTCTCCTTGAAATCACACCATGATTTTGATCAAGTCGGACGATGCAATCACAACAAGAAGAAAGGTAGAGTTTCGCAATCACCAGCTCTCTTCACCTTGGTTTTCTTCACACACCCCGCCCCCTCCCCCTTCGTTTTTTGTGTTCCTCTGTGGGCCAGATACTTGGCCCAGATCGTCCACTTCTTACACACTTGTTGCCTTGATTCACTGGTGGCTTGGAGGTCTGTATGCTCAACTGCAAAGGCTAGTTAGGTTCTGCAGCCAGGATTCTAAAAACACCACAAACCATACTTGCTGATTTTTACACTTTGTATTCCAAAAGTCCATGGAACAAAAGTCTCGTACAAGCTGTTTATTTATGAAGAGTTTTTTCTTTCTTTAGAAGTCTTTGCATATGGAGGGCAATGTCGAGTAGAAAGAAGATATGAAATGGGTCAAATCTTTTTTTAACAAAGTTTATTAGTATTTCATGAGAAAGTAATATTTATGTATCATATTTTTACCTATTTAAACTTACTTCTTTTTATTTAAGTAGTTTAGATATTTTTATTTCAGAAATAATTTTTACAAAGATACGAATAATATATGATATATATAGATATATTATTCCTATTCCCCATCCCAATCTCATGTCCCTTGTCCTAACCTTCCATCTCATGTCCCAACCTCCTGTCTTTTGTCCCAATCTTCCATCTTAATTTCCTACCTCCCATCCCAACTATCTCTTTATATTATTAGAATTAAAATAAATATTTCTATTATATATATATATATAATAATTAATTAACAATAAAAAATATATAATAATTAATTAACAATATATATATATATATATATATATATATATTCTAAACCCTATACTTGGACATATGGGAGGTTGGGGGTTAGGATGGAAGGTTGGAGGTTGAGATAGAGAGCAAGTGGTTGAAATGGGAGGTTAGGACAAGAGATGGGGGACAAAGAATTGAGATGGGAGACAAGGGCTACAAATAGAAATGGAGGATGTAAGTTGGAAATAGAAACGGAGGACAAGACGATACAATAATGGTTTTGATGGGTGGATCAATTTAACCACTATTGGAATTGATTTAACATTCTCCAAAAGTTATAGTCAAGCATTTATATCAATATTATAATTTATAAATTTATTGTCTTTTCTACTATCAAAATAATCTTTCTTTATATAAAATAATATACATAAATAATATACATGATGTACAATAGTTAAAAAAACCTACATCTTTATTGTAACATATGACCTTTTGAAAACTTAGTCATAGAATTTAGAAGAATTATAAACATTCATATAATATGAACTTAATAAAATAAGTTTCATAATCTATTTTATTACAATATAATTTCTTGTTGGTCTTATTAATATGTTACAAAGTTCTGAATAATATAGAATACATACAATTTTTGTAGTATATAATCTTATTTATTAAAATTAAAGTTACAAAACATATCCTATATTCATCAATATTATTTTTATTATTTTAAGAAATTAAGAATAATTAATTATTTATTTTTATTTATAATTATTATTAAGAAATTAAGAATTATATATATATATATATATATATTAAAACTTTACTATATTCTTTATAATTACTACAAGTATTTTAAGGATCTTACTATAAAATTTTAAAATAGAAATCTTTGTATTCAAATAAAATTATAATTTTTTATTTTTTGTTTATTATCTTATCATTAGATTTTAATTTAAAACTTATTTTAATTACAAAATTATAAAAAGAACTAAAGTAAAAAATAAGATTTGGTATCAAATGTTGAAATTTTGGCATAGTATTCTAAATAATAAATTCAAAGTGACTTTAGATTTTATAGATGTTACTATTTTAGTAAAGTAAAAAGAACAATGAATATCAATTTTAAAAATAAAATTGTGGAGAGAAATTTAAAAAGAACCATTTTATATATTGTAATGTAAAAGGAGTCTAAGAAGGATATTAACTTCAAAGTTTCTAAAGTATTGTATAGGATATCAATATGTTCTGACAAAATAAAAGACAACAATCTTAGTTAAGTAATAGCCTTGCATTTCTTGTAATTAGAGAGTTATCTTTCTTTGATACTTTTATTTGTGTATAGTGTGTGATAGTATTTTTTTTTTAATGAAATAAATAGATTTTTAGATGGATATGTGTGTTGTGAATATATTTAAGTATATGTATGTGTGTACATGGGAGTTTTATCTATGTGTAATTATAGATGTGTATCTATATCTAAACAAAGGATATAGGCAAAATAAGTAGAATAATCACTCTATGTTGCATAGTATTAAATTGCAATGATAATGCAAGCATGTTTGAGGTATGTATCATATGTGTAAGAATAACAAGTCAATTTGATGAGCAATGGTATATTTTTATTTATTTATTTATTTGATAAATAGATTATGATTCAAAATAATATTATAGATGAAAGAGATTTTATATGAGGTGCAAATTAATACAAATGAAGGTGATCAAAAATGCAAAGAACATTGCAACAACAAAAAGTAAGACATGAAAAAAGTTCATGAGCTTCAAGTAATGTAAGGATGAGTAAGAACTAATAGTGAGAAGGAATACAAAGGACATTGAGGAAATCAAATAAGGAGAGAGAACTCTCATAGATTGACATAACCATCAAACTAATGTTTGAAAAGAACAAGCATAAAAATAAAACAACAAAAAGAACTAAGAGCCAAACTAAGCAAATCATTAAAAAAAAAATGCAATTTATTGATAAACATCAAAGATATACAATGAACCTAACTATCTTGAATTGATTCATATATAAGAAATAAGCGGTCTAAAATTAGAAAGGAGAGAAATCTAAGATAAGTACAAAGAGTAGTATTAGAATCAAATGTAAGCATGTAAAGTGCAACTTGTGAATCTTTAGAAGAGAAAAAAAAAAAAAAAAAAAAAAAAAAAAACGTATTTTGTCTTAAATAATATTTATTTAAACTACAAAGGATTTAAAATAATGAATAAATAAACTATATAATTAAAATTAATTATTGATTAATTTTTACTAATAAGAAATTTATAAAAATAAAAATTATATATATATATTAGATGAAGATAATATAAATTTTTTGAAGTGGCAATCAATAAGACTGAAAACAACAACAAAAAATAATTAAAAAAATATCACATAGAATAAAATCTGATGTCTAATTTGGCAAAAGCCATCCATTGAGTAAAAAGCAATGACAACTAATAAGAAAAGAAGGCAAACCAAGGTTGGCAAAAATAAATTGCAAAAAATAATTAAGAAGAAGATTTTGCAATCATAGTGCAAAGAGAGAGATTACATGTGAGAACATAGTAAAAATATAACACTAAAAACAACACTTTAAAAAAGAAAGTAATAAATATTACAATTAATAAATGTACATATTAAAAAAATAAAAAATGAGTTGTCAAAAACAAGAAGGATTCATTATGGGTAGAAAATAAAAAGAAAAAAGAAAAAAGAAAAAGACAAGGAGTTTCTTAGATAAAAAAACCAAATAAGATGTTATCTTAGTGAATCTAATAGCAAAGAAACAACATAATTACAAAAATATGATAACAATGATAAGAATCTATT